TGGTCCAGAATTCCCTGGATGCTGCCGCCCTTGTTGGACTCGCCCCAAGCAACAACCTGCAACAGTATTTTATATACTGAAGTATATTGTAGTATATTATAGTGTATTATGGTACATTATAGTATACTATAGTATATTGAAATGTCCGGGAGCCTGCATACTATGTAGATCTATAAAGTAGTTTCCATGTTCTTTTCCATCATCCCTCTATAACCCCAATATACTATGTAGTACTTTCCATTTGCTTTTCCATTATCCCGGAATCCCTTGAAGACTCTGAGCACATGAAGCAAAGCTGAACGGACACAGGCCCTCTCTCTGATTCTAAGGGTCCAAATACCCAATATTTAGGTACTTGGGATTTAGGTAATAGTAAATGATTATAGTACAGGTTTGGCCTAAACCCTAAACCTAAACCCTAAACGCTTAGGGTGATCCTTGCCTGGCCTGGCCATCAGCCCGTATTGCGGCAAATGCACCAGCAGAGCCTGACCGAGTAAAACTGGTCGCATTGAGCTAAGGACTAAATTGAGGTTGGGGGGACCTATGGGGGACTATATGTAGGGTTTTGGGGAACCTATCAAATTTAATCCAGGGCTCATATTTACAGCAAAATTTGCCAAGTTGGCACATCCGGAATCTCATCTCAACGGGTTTTGCCCTCCTACTGTAGGGTCGTATGCAACGATTTGCTGCTACAGGATGATGCTGCACCGTACTGCGCCTCTGATCTGCCTCACACCAGCAAGCTGCTCCTCCACAGCAGAGCTGTCACCTCCAGCGGACCGCGCGCCCCACGTAATGACACCTTGGCGCCACCATGCGGATCAGGTCGCTTGCTGTTGCTGCAGGTTGCTAATGGCTTATGGCTAGTCACGGCTATTTCAAAAAGTTTCAAAAAAGAATTGAACCGTGCAGCGGCCGTCGATTCGCAGCGCAGCAAAAGCATATCCTGAGGCGTGGATCTGGTGAACGTCTCGGAGCTGGTCTTGAACATGCGCATAGTCTCCGCCAAAGCGGGTATCTCCCCATGCGATCACGTGTCCATCTGTCTGCAGTGCTGCGAAAGCACAGTGAGTTGACTGTATCTCCTGCACATCCTTGAGAATAGGCTGGATCGTGGTGCTGTCACCACCGTTGGCTGCGCTGCCCCAAGTCACCACTGTACCATCGTCCTTGATGGCAGCGAAGGCATGTGAAGTCGCATGCAGCTGCCGAACTTGGGCGTTTAGCATCTCCCGCACAGCGGTGCTGTCGCCGCCACATTGCGGATCTCCCCAGGTAACCACTCCACCGTCACCGCGCAGGGCAGCAAATGCAAAGCTGGTGGCCTCAAGTTGCTTCACTTCCCGCAGCTGATATTGCACCGCGGAGCTGTCGCCTCGTGTGCCAACGCAAGGCAGCTGCCAATATTGACATGATCGCTATGCAGCTAGCGCACAAGATGCAAGTGGCCCTAAGCTCAACTCTAGTCAGGCGAGTCGCCACCACAGTCCATGTCACCCCATGTGATCACGGCCCCATCCGTCCGGAGCGCAGCGAAGGCACGTGCAAAGCCGTGCACTGAAACCACATCCTTCAGCTGTTCGCGAACAGCGCTGCTGTCACCGCCGAATGCAGGATTGCCCCAGGTGATCACGCTTCCATTCCGCTGGATCGCAGCAAATGCGTGGGCTGAGGGATGAATGTCATCCACCTGCCGCAGCTGCTGCTGGACCGGGCCTTAGCCACTCAATCTCCAAACTTCCAAGCTGGCATTTTGGCCGAGCAGCTGCTGTCCCCTCCATAGACTGGGTCGCCCCAGGTGACCACAGAACCGTCCGCGCGGAGCGCGGCAAAGGCACCGGTCGAAGAAAAGACCTCAACAAAAAAGTTCCTGATCAAAGCCCGCCGTGAACAGACCAGGCGCCTCCTTCACTTCCCTGAGCTGCGAGGAAACCTTGCGTCTCACAAGTCGTACAGTTGTGGCATCTTTTTGGTCACTGCACTAGCATCACTAACGTCTCTAGCTAGCATATGCTGGCATGCCCTCGAGCAGCAGAAGAACTGTCTCCGCCCATCAGTGCATCTCCCCAGGTCACCACAGAGCCATCAACCCGCACGAACGCGAAGGCAGAAGAGCAACGGCTCGAGTAAAGAGCGTCCTCTGCGGCAAGGGATCTAGGAAGTTGAAGTAGCTCTGAAGCTTCTCACTCTGCAAGCGATCTGATCCCTCACCCTTTCCGCCCTTTCCTTTCCAACTGTGGCATTCAAGGTATCTCCATTTTGGAGGCCAGCTTCACGGATGGTGCTGGATCCTTTCACCGTCTGGCCACCCCCTGTCACAAGCGCGCCTGGGCGGGAAGATGCCGCATAGAGCCAAGGCGTAGCACCAAGGTGCCCCCTACCCCATCCTACCCCTGCGTTCTTTTTTTAAAGACACTGTGGCAGAAGCTGGGCAGTAAAGTGCCTGAATTGAGCCAAAGGGCTGATGGCAACCCGGAGCTCCTGCTGAGCCTTCAGCCGTACCTGAATGGTAGCTTCAGGCGGGTGTGGGTTCCCAGACAACCATTTCTTGTTTGTTGAGACTGATGTTGGGTTTAATAAGATGCTCTGTATACCGCAAATCTTACCATTTGCCAGCGGCAAGCCCCCTATGGCACTGAATGCATCTGCACGACCTGGTGACAGGTACCAACTAAGCTCGGCACCCACTGAATCTGGGTGTCAGGGCTGGCTGAAATTGCGCAAGTCTTCCCGCTCACTAGCGCAATTCGAATGACGGTATCACTGGCCATGGCTCGAAGTCAGCGCCATGAAAGTCAGGTCAGCTGTCGACCATGGATTCTGGGACAAGCTTGGGTGTGGGATGTCAGGCTCAACATAATTGATAATGTGAAGCTTTGTGCCATCCGATTCATGAGCCACCGCAAACAAAAGCCAAGCGATCAAGGTGTGCTTGGGTAGCTCAAATGCCCTGTCCCAGCCAACACTCACTTTGTAACAAATGTACGCAACATCCTAAACCCTACACCCTAA